TTAATCTTTTTCTAACAAAATTGACAACTGAGTGTTGTCGTCGAAACTGGATCAGTTTTCTTAAAAATTACAAAATGGATATCATTTTATTAGGTGTTCCCAAATATTGTAATACTCGTTTTATTTATCAGGTAAATATTACCGATTTTATATTTGAAAATTTTGAATGTTATCGTGATTTTTATTATAAAAGTAACTATAATTGTGAGTCGATAGGAAAAGATGATGAAAAAACAAACAAAAACAGAATAGGAGGTCCTAGTATGAATAATAAGTTGTTTGTTGCGTTTCTTATGGTGTGTGACTTGATTCTTTCACAGATAAAATTGTTAGTGATTGGCTTCAATCACCTCAAATCAGCTTACCGGTCGTGTATGAGAGAATTAAGAGTATAATTCGTCACTTTTTTGAGTTGAGAGATAAAATTAACAATACTTCAGACACGTTTTTTTAAGAATCTTCCTTTTGTAAGGGAATTAACAAGTATAGAATTTGATGTTCTTCGTGTTGTATGTTCAGATCATATTACCCGGTTTTTACACGCTTCAAGTCTTCGTTTTAAGAACCCTCTTATTTATTCATCTAAAAGTGATGTTTCAACAAATGGAGTAAAAAATACATTATTGAATTATACAGATTTTGAAGAAATTATGGCAAATGTGCGTAAAGCTAAAAACAAGCACAAAAAAGATGGAATCTGAGAGGATGGAAGAACAGCTTCTTCTAAATATAAAAAACGAAGCTACTACTAAATTGGACCTTGATATGAAACTGTTTATGCTACCAGAAAATCCAAGTAATGTTAACCCAGAAGATTATCCTCGTGAACTCAAATTCGAGATCGATAAATTCGAAGAGTTGTCGTGCACAAATTCTGGTAGAATTAAATTGCTCCGTTTAACCCAGTCATCTCATTTATTTAAACTTCCTAAAATTAAAATGAACAAATTTTTGAAAAACCAAGTTACCAAAATAACTTCACATGGTCATTTTTGTGATATTAATTATCACCACGATAACACCGAAGATATCATTGAAACAGCTGAAACGACTTTTGCGAGTGAAAATATATCAATTCCAAGTGATGTTTTGTATTTAAAACATTTAAAAGATAGAGTGGAATTTCGAGAATGGAAAACTAAAGAAATGGTATTTTTTGAATTAAAATGTTTTTGTGATTATATTTCAACAGAAAACGTATTTCAACTATTTGATTCTTCCATTAAAGAAGATTATAAAAATATCATACAAAGCATCGAAAGAATTGTTATTATCGCACCAACTGGTTGTTGTTGTGAACGTTCTTTTAATTATTGGGAAGATGCATATTCGGATAATATATATGAAAAGATGCAGAAGGCAAAAATGGATTCAAAAATAATATGCAATGAAAACGAAAAATAATATGGCCAACCTTTTATAAATCTCTATAATAACTGATCGTTCGTTTTATTATTTTTTGTTTTTTATTTTATTTTGTAATATTTTTATAATCGTTATTTAATAAAAACACCAAATAATTTATAAAATGTCAAAATTTAATATATTGTAATATTATAATACATTGACATTTAATTAATTATAATTTATTTATTTTTTATCAAATAATAATTGGGTTATTTGCATAACAGTATAAACATAATTCATACTAATACAAAAGTTTAAAAAGGCTTTTATAAATTAATTAAGTA